AGAGACTTTCCAACGAACAGTTCCATCTCAAACTTGGGTAATTGAACCAGTTGTTCAGATAGCTGCTTTCGGATGTACTATGGGAGGAGGTGCAGTAAAAAACTCTCCGCCCAGAGGGAGTATCGTCGAAAAATGAATACGACCTCCCCTATTGGGGAATCCCCGATAGGGGGGGGTCGTATTTGGGCTGAGAAAAATTTATTTTGATAGTTGATTTTTCTCGCTTCATGGACGTTGTAAAGGGGGGGTCGTATTTGATCATTTTTGGGAGGGGGGTCGTATTTACGTTTTGGCGTTGTGGGAGTGGCGGTTGACTTTTGGTGATTTTCCTGTTTCACGTACTATATGCCCCCCCCTCGACAGCAAAATTTTTGGTAAAAAGTAGGGAAGTTTTCGGGAAATTTTGGAAAAAGGGGCAGGAAGTTGGGGAAAATCTGATTGTAAAGGGGGAGGGTCGTATTGTCTCGCGGCTTTTCCTGTTTCACATGGAAAGTTGGCGGACCTACTAAGTTGGTATCCGGAGTCCTATTTGATGCGTGGATGGACTTGCAGTGTTGGCGGCCACTGCCCTTCTGCCCTGATTACCCCCTCTACACCGCAACACTTTATTCTGTCTTCCCACTGAGTTCTAGGTTGATTATCGGAGATTTTTTTCTGTGTTTCCTTTTTTATGTGTGCCACTGTCAATAGAATGCCGATAATAAATCATAAATTATTCATGTGCTATTTACCCTACCAGTCGGATCGCCCGGCTAACGCCGAGCTCTCCTCCTTCTCTTTAGATGGCTTGGTGGGCGCACTTCATGATGGCAACAAAATTTTTTTCATCCACTTAGCTGCTCATAATGCGTTATGGTCGAATCGTAATAGATGGATCAACCCACGGGCGAGCCCACATCCAGCTGCCACGCGAGCAGCTTGTGCGATGGCCCGGAATGTACGAAATAACTGTCTTAGATAGGGTGGGGATTATCAAGTCAAAACAACATCTTACCTTAGTTTGCTACTCTATTATGGATTAGCTCACAGTTTTGTTAGCGGTTGTATCCTACTCTCCTGCTATTATTCTACCCAAGCGTGCACTACGCCCCCCCCCCTAGAAAGTAGAGGGGAGGGGCCCCTCACCGTACCCCCTCCCCTCTGCTTCCTTCACTTGCACATGCTCAGGTCGGGCTGAGCACGTGCAGGGGAAGGAAGCAGAGGGGGAGGGGGCCCTTGGCATCCCCCCTCCCTCGGCTCCACCCCACCCTGCCCCCGCACGAGCATGCTCAGGTCGGGCTGAGCACGTGCAGGGGAAGGAAGCAGAGGGGGAGGGGGCCCTTGGCACCCCCCCCCCCTCGGCTCCACCCCACCCTGCCCCCGCACGAGCACACGTCCAGCTGCCACGGCAGCAGCTCGTGCAATGGCTCGGAGTGTACCGAATGGTTGTCTTAT